GTGAATAGTGGGTCGCGATTCTAAAAAGTTTGGGAACCCCTGCTTTAGGCTAATTAGAACTTCACCCACTACACTTATAAGGTTTCACGGCAACCCCTCACAGCTCCCTTTCACCCCCGTCACTATAATCGTGATGGGCAGACAATAATCTAACTATTCTATCTGAATAAATGCATTTTGGCTTTTATGACTCCTTCTATTTCGAGAAATCATGCTGACTTTTATCGGTTGGATATTAAATAGGCTAAGACAAGGTTATTTGTTTGTTTGTTTGTTTTGAATTACGCGCAATACTACACGAGGACTATCTGCCCTAGCCGTCCCTAATTTAGCAGTGTAAGACTAGAGGGAAGGCAGCTAGTCATCACCACCCACCGCCAACTCTTGGGCTACTCTTTTACCAACGCATAGTGGGATTGACCGTCACATTATAACGCCCCCACGGCTGAAATGGGCGAGCATGTTTAGCGGGACGGGGATTCGAACCCGCGACCCTCAGATTGCGAGTCGAGCGCCCTAACCACTTGGCCATGCCGGGCAAGACAAGGTGAACAATAACAAAAATAACCATTCTGACTATATGCATGCAGCATGGCTTGGATTCTTTTTTTTTACACGTTTGTGAGAATGGTAAGTTTTGTGGCATTTATTTAACATAAAAGTCATGTTTTTGGAAGGGTTTTCTGGACATGATGGAAGCCTATATGATGTATATGTAATTTCAAAATATCATATTTGGCGAAACATATTTTAATAATTATAATTACATTTACTTTTCAAAATATTGAAACAGGACAAGTTATTTTATGGTGATGAGACTATTTTTAACATTTCTTATTACAATGATCTCTAAAGAAAAAACATCAAATTCATTGAGAATGTAAGATAGATAATCATAGATATATTTTCAAGAAATAAAAAATTGTCTTCCTTTTATTTCAGGTACACCAGGAACCAAAAAAATTAAAGAAATATGTTGTACCTTCACTATTTAAGTGGTACAAAGAACCACCCGCAGTATCAAAGAGTTGGCAAGAGCGAGAAGAGAAGAAAGTGAAGAAAAAAAGAGGCAGAGCTCTCATTTGAGTCCAACAAAAATCCGGTAAAAGTGATAATGTAGCAACTGGCAATTCCAGAAGAGGTAGATATGGAACTTGCTGCCCTTGTGACAGCAGATATCTCAAGCCAGACCCCATCATGGCCCAAATTTAGAATAGAGGAC